GGGGAAAACAGGTTTTCATTGAGGATATCTCTGTACTTTGCTCCATTCAGCTTTCCCTCATCCCTGACCAGTCTCCCAGTCCCTGCTGCTGAAAAACTCCTCCACAGCATGATGTTGCCACCACCATGCTTCACTATTGGGATGGAATTGGGCAGGTGATGAGCGGTGCATGGTTACCTCCAGACATAACATTTAGAATTGAGACCAAACTGTTCAATCTTGGTTTCATCAGACCAGAGAATCTTGTTCCTCACAGTCTGAACGTGCAGATTGTGGCCGTCAGCGACTAGTCAATGTTAGGGCAGAACGGAGAGTGGCAAGACTGGTACAAGACAACAGAAGGGCCACAGTGCATCAAATGACTGCAGATCTTAATCAAGGATCCTCTCAAATTATCCGTACACTGCATCGTATGGGATATGGAAGACGAAGGCCTGTTAGAACACCTTTGCTGTCTGCAGTTAACAAGATAAAACGTCTCCAATTCACACAGGAACACAAGGATTGGACAGTGGAGCATTGGAAAAAAGTCATGTGGTCCAATGAATCACGTTTCCAGTTGCATCATGCAGATGGCAGAGTGAGAATTTGGCAGAAATAGCATGAAAGCATGCACCCCACATGCATGAGTACAACCCTTCAAGCTGGTGGGGGCAGTGTTATGGTTTGGGGCATGTTTTCCTGGCATGATTTGGGCCCTTTAATTCGTGTGGAACGTCTGAATAGCACAACATACCAAAGTATCGTTGCTGATCAAGTTCATCCGATCATGCTGATGGCGTATCCCAATGGAGATGGCTTCTTCCAACAAGACAATGCGCCATGCCACGGTGCTCGTATTGTGCAGGAGTGGTTTATAGAACATGAGGGAGACTTTACCTTGCTTAGGTGGCCCCCACAATCACCAGATCTCAATCCAATTGAGCATTTGTGGGACGAAGCTGAAAGAGCCATCAGGCAGCTGGTTCCACAACCATCAAATCTCACAGAACTGGACAGTGCTATTCATCAGGCATGGTGTCAGATTCCTCGCATCACCTTTCCACATCTCGTGGAGTCAATGCCAAGAAGAATCGCCGCAGTATTGAAGGCAAAAGGTGGCCCAACGAAGTACTGATGGGGTGGTCATAATAATCTGGCCACTCAGTGTATGTTTTACAGGCATGGAAATCAGCATCGGATAATCATCATTATCATTATTTAACCTCTTAGTGACCAGTGACGTTCATAGTACGTCACTGGCACCAGGCCCCTCCAAACAGACTCCGCCGGGACTCTGTTTGCATTTGTAAAGCCGACTGTTGGCTTTACAATAGAAGCCATTCTGGCTACTCAGCTGTCGCCAGATCGCTTCTATGGGCCAGTAAACTGTCCCGTTTGCACTTCTGCACTTCTGCGATCTGCACTTCAATAGCTTATTTAGAGTGTAAGGCCCCATTCACACTAAGCGACACTCACCTCCAGCGGATTTCCTCGCGGCGGGATATTGCGACTGTTCGGGGCGACGTTCCAGCGACGATCGCCTGACCTTCACCGTCGGGCTGCATTCAAAAATAGAAAAATAGCGCGACATCCGCGGGAAAAAGGGTGCTACAGAAGCGACAGCGACGGGCGACATTACATTAGCACAGCTCCATTGAATATCATTGGCCGGCGACTTCTCGCGATATCGCGCTGCAAAAATGCGCGATATCGCGGTGGAAATCACGGGATTTACTGCTTAGTGTGAATTGGGCCTTAAGGTGACACTTAGGTCTTTTGGACCCCCAGCATCACCTTAAAGAGTACCTATCACCACCATCTGCTTTCACATGGGGGGCTTGTAAGCCCCCTATGTTATAGCAATTAAAGTAAAGTTAAAAATATATATATATAACAGATTTTAAAAATAATATCAAATAAAATAAATGTAAAACTAACCAGCGGATGTCAACTCGTTAAAAGCGTCACACACAATTTTTAACCTGGGCATGTTGGGTATCTATTTACTCGTTGTAACCTCATCTTTCATTTTAAACAAATTGGTATTTTATTGTTTTGGAGCACTAACTTTACCTTATGTACATTTTTCACTCAATTTTTGGGTTTGATAATAAGTTGCACTAATATCGTGCAACATAAAAATCTGCAACTGCCACCATTATATTCTATAGTGTCTTGGCTTTCAGAAAATGTATAATGTTTTGGGGTTTGAAGTGATTTTCAGGCCTAAAATGTGGATTATAACCTGGGTGCAAAAAAACGAAAAAAGGTCTCGGTCATGAAGGGGTTAAGGGCCGATGTTGTAGGAGGTGAGGAGTCTCAGCTATGTAGGATGATTTATACTTAAATCCTGTTGGGATTCAGTGGGGGGAATTTATCAAAACTGGAGCAGATTCTGGAGCAGTTGCCCATAGTAACCAATCAGCATCTCCCTTCAGTTTGCTCAATTAAGATTTGAAAATAAAAGAGAGAAGCTGATTGGTTGCCAGGCACAGTTACTCCAGATTTCGTCTGCTCCACTTTTGATAAATTCCCTTCAGTGTATCTATATGAATAAGCCTAAACTGTAAAACGTATTAGGGGTTATGGATGGAGGAGGGGACTCTGGACAGTGTTTGTCACGTTTCGTGGACAAAGACATTCGCCGGTGAAAGCTCCTGCGGAGTGCGGCATGTTTTTAAAATATGTACACACTTCAATGCTTTTCAAAATTACAATAACAAACCAGCTGTCAGCACCGATTGGCCCCCGCAGGTCACCTGATCACGCTGACTGACAGGAATTCTGGGAGATGTAGTCTTTCTCTCACCCACGACTTATAGAATAGCGATGTTAAGGAACTACTCCCAGGATTCATAGCGAGAGAAAAATCAGTCTGTAAGCGACCAGCCAACCCGGAGACCCGAGGATCACGTGACGCTGTGATTGGGGGCAGCAGAAAGGTATGGCCTCATCTGTGCTGTTATTGTGGTATAATGCGCGTTCTATACACTAATACATTGTAGCCGGGGCGGGTCATGTGACTCGTGTGCGCCGGGGATAGGTGGGCAGGGCTGTCACCTGTACACAGCCAGGAGCCAGGGGGGATCCCTGATCTGTACTGATGAGGGGAGCTGTCCTGTATGGTACCAGCCATGGCTGGCATTGGATGCTGCGAGGACACAACTTCTATCATTATGTGTGACAACTTTTTACATCTACTGCTGACATGACATTCCCTGATAATGGAGCCCTGGACTGTGGGGGTCTTATTCTGGGGTACGGTGACCTTTATGCAGCACTGTTGGGTATGCTTAATTTTGTATGGCACGGTGGGGTGTCATTATTGTGGGGTGCTGCTGTGGGGCACTTTTATTTTTATACAGTAGTGTTGGATGTGATTGTTTTAGGGGGTACTATTGGGTGCAGCTATTTGTTTTTTTGTTTGGTGTGTTTTTTTGGGGGGGCAGTATTGTAATGTGTGACTTTTTTTTGTGCAGTGCTGTTCAGTGCTAGTATTTTAAGGAGGGGGGGTACTGTTGGGTGCAAATATTTTAGGGGGTACTGTTGGGTGCTAGTTTTTTTAGGGGGTGTGCTTTTGGTTACAATTATTTTAGGGGGGTACTGTTGGGTGCTAATATTTTTTCGGAGGGGCGGCTACAGCGTCTCACTACCTTTCTTCCCGCACCCCTGTAGAGCCGTGCTAGAGGCCGACATCACTGATGAGGAAGTCCTCCAAGCCATTTGCAGTTTGAGATCTGGGAAATGGACAGGCCCTGATGGCTTTTTCGCCATATTCTATAACAAAAGGTCAGACGTTCTCCTCCCCCAACCTTAACTTTTCTACTTATTAAAGTATAGCATCAAATTAGACCCTGACATGCGTACTGCTAACGTTGTCATGATAACTAAACCTAACAAAGACTCCCACACATGGTCCAGCCTCTGCCCTATTTTTCTAATAATAGTGACAATAGACTCCTAATGAAAATTGTGACCTTGTGCATCATCAATTTCCTCATCCTATTAAGTAATAATGACAAGTATTATTAGGCTTTATCCCCAACCAAAAGCATTCGCAGATATCACTACATACCACTACTTAGGCCTTGTTCACACCGAAAGCATGTGCGTTCCAGAGCGGTAGCTGCTGTAACGCACCGCGATCGCTCAGAAACTTCCCCCCGCGTTTTGGGTGGGAGGGGGCGTGGCGGTGCATTTAATTCAATGACACCGCTCCCCCCCTGCAGTTTTGTTCCACTGCAAACGCAAAAAATAGGGCAAGCGATCGTGGTGCGTTCCAGCAGCTACCGCTCTGGAACGCACACGCTTTCGGTGTGAACAAGCCCTTAAAGTGACACTAAACTCAGAAGTTAAACCTTACAAATACATCCAAGTTCCTTAACTATTAACAACAAATGTATCTTATTTGTGTATCACTCGGCTGTAGATCCTCCAATCATCTCTGAATTGGTGCTGACAATGTCCTTCCTTCTGGAGGGGGGCTACTTTTGTTCCGCATGGTCCCTGTGTGTGGTAAAGTAATTACTTTATGTATATATGGTATTCCTGTTGTGCGCTCAGAGATGGTATTCTGCATACCTCGGATGTAACGAGCGGTTATTTGAGTTACTGTCGCCTTTCTATCAGCTTACCAGTCCGGCCATTCTCTGACCTCTGACCCATTCTCTTGAACTTCAGCAGACCATCTTGACCATGTCTACATGCCTAAATGTATTGAGTTACTGCCATGTGATTGGCTGATTAGATATTTGTGTTAAGCAGTTGAAGAGGTGTACCTAATAAAGCGGCCAGTGAGTGTCTATGGGGACTGTTTCACCTGCCAGAGAATTTCATTACAGTCCATGCATTTCTGGTAGTTGCACAGCTCCGTGACGCAGCACAGTCATGTGTTGGCAGAGCAGAAGACCTGATCGGCTACATCTATGGACCTTGAGAAAGAAACATCTTGCAGGAAGTGTTTAACTGTCCGTGTATTTTTTTGTACTCTGCAGGAGTCTGTAAGACTGGTGCCCTCAGCTCTACGAAGGACAGCGGACCAGGGAATGGTGAGTAGCATTTGCTCCTGTGTAAACAGTCTTGCTGGGATGGATATAGACAGAATCTGTAAATAAAGTTACTTCCAATACCAGTCTGAAGTCACATTGGGTTCACTGCTAATTCAACCCAGAAAATTTTAGCGGTTATATTCCTGGCCAGGACATTATCTGCATGGAGTTTTCATGTTCCCCCTGTGCTTGTGTGGGTTTTTATTCGGGTGCTACGGATCCTTCCCACACTCCAAGGACACACTGGTATGGTAAAGTGACGTTAAACCTTAAAAATACATTTAAGTACCCAAACCATTAACATAAATGTATCTTATTTGTGTATCACTCAGCTGTAGATCCTCCAATCATCTCTGAATTGGCGCTGACACTGTCCTTCCTTCTGGAGGGGGGCTACTTTTGTTCCCGATGGTCCCTGTGTGTGTTGTAAAGTAGCCACCGTTCCAAGCTCTCTCCTGTGATGTACTACAATCTCATGTTTAGTTTACTAATTTGTATTGCAATTGTAGTCCATCATGGGAGCGAGCTTGGAGCGGTGACTACTTTACAACACACACAGGGACCATGGGGAACAACAGTAGCCCCCTTCCAGAAGGAAGGACAGTGTTAGCACCAATTCAGAGATGATTGGAGGATCTACAGCCGAGTGATACACAAGATACATTTATGTTATTAGTTCAGGTACTTGAATGTATTGTTGAAATTTAAAGTGACACTAAATTCAGGAGTTAAATCTTGTTTGTTTTTCTCTGTATACAGGATGTAGGTGTTAAAGATTTTGAGGATGTCGCCGTGTACTTTTCTGAGGAGGAATGGGGCACCCTAGGTGAAGAACAGAAAAAGCTTTACAAAGATGTGATGATGGAGAATTACCAGGCCCTGAGCTCTCTTGGTAAGAGGATATGTTTCAGAAAGAGTGGTGTATCCAAACGTTTATACAGCAAACAAATGAAATACCTGAATGTTGTCACAATTTTCAAGCGCCCCCGCTCTTCTCCCTTCCCCTTGGCCCTGAGGCTCAGGCACGTGTCATGGGTTTTTCCTCTTCTCCTCTGGAGGCAGAGGTGGTCAGTCCTTACTGGCGCAGAGGACAGCGCTTATTTAAATTATGTGTGAGTGCAGTCCAGTGCTGTACTACTCTGAGCCCAAGCCTCCATGATGATGCCCTCTATGCCACTCACCTGGACTCAGAGAACGCTGACTGATGCTGGCTGTCATTCAACCCTAAAGACTGGAAACATGCTGTGGCAGAAGGTAATTTCTGCAGAAGACAGTGCCAGATTGAGTATTTACTGAGTTCTCCTGGATTTCTGCTTTTGTGTATTTTGTATGTGTTTAAAGGAGAACTATGGTGTTAAGGCTTTTCCCCATAGTTCTCCTTAAGGTAACAGGAGGACACAAACTAGCGTCCTCCCGTCACCCTAGGCTCAGTATACTGCCAGCTGTAGCTCGCGGTATACTGAGACGCCGCAGCTGAAGTGGATCCTGACAATTGTGCCAGGATCTGCCCAGCTGCGTGACTGACAGCTGGCTCTGCCTATCTAGAAGCAGAGCCAGCTGTTCCCGCCCCCTCCCCCGTCCATTCCGCCAGTCAGCGCTGGCGGATCGGAGCGGGGAGAGGGGAATCCAGCCCCTCCCTGTCACGGCAGAGAGCCGTGACAGGATCGAGAGGTGAGCGAACGCCGGTATGTGTTCGCTCACCTCCCGATCTAATGAGCCGACCTGTGACAGTCTCATTGTCACAGGTCGGCTAGAACTATGAGGTGAGTGAAAAGCACTCACCTCATAGTTCTCCTTTAATTCACAAAGGTAAATATCGCTTAGATGTGTAATGGTTATTTTTCTGCATGATAAGGACATGGAACTGCTAAAGGCTTCATTTTCCCAGTAATTCATCTCGCAAAGCATTTTTTTTGTCACTGTCTTGTAAGTGTCGTCATTTTCTTGCTCTTCTCAATAGACACTTGTTAATACTTGCTGTAGGGATGAGGTCTGGCTTGGCCCAAACCCAAGCTCATCCGAACCCGGGCATTAGGCATCAGTGCACTCCTAATCAGCTATGGCTGGGGCATTCCTCACCCTGCACGTAAACAAAGGGGTGGGATGTTGGTGACATCATTGCTCTTATATGGCCAGATTGGGACCAAACCCAAGCTCATTCCTACTCGGCTATTGGCAGCCAGAATTGAGCTGTATGTTGAGGAGCAAAAACCTGTTCTGGAGTCTTTGTGAATTGACTTTTAGATACAAGATTCCGCCAAATTGATACACTGTCCTTCCTTCTGGAGGGGGGCTACTTTTGTTCCCGATGGTCCCTGTGTGTGTTGTAAAGTAGCCACCGTTCCAAGCTCTCTCCTGTGATGTACTACAATCTCATGTTTAGTTTACTAATTTGTATTGCAATTGTAGTCCATCATGGGAGCGAGCTTGGAGCGGTGACTACTTTACAACACACACAGGGACCATGGGGAACAACAGTAGCCCCCTTCCAGAAGGAAGGACAGTGTTAGCACCAATTCAGAGATGATTGGAGGATCTACAGCCGAGTGATACACAAGATACATTTATGTTATTAGTTCAGGTACTTGAATGTATTGTTGAAATTTAAAGTGACACTAAATTCAGGAGTTAAATCTTGTTTGTTTTTCTCTGTATACAGGATGTAGGTGTTAAAGATTTTGAGGATGTCGCCGTGTACTTTTCTGAGGAGGAATGGGGCACCCTAGGTGAAGAACAGAAAAAGCTTTACAAAGATGTGATGATGGAGAATTACCAGGCCCTGAGCTCTCTTGGTAAGAGGATATGTTTCAGAAAGAGTGGTGTATCCAAACGTTTATACAGCAAACAAATGAAATACCTGAATGTTGTCACAATTTTCAAGCGCCCCCGCTCTTCTCCCTTCCCCTTGGCCCTGAGGCTCAGGCACGTGTCATGGGTTTTTCCTCTTCTCCTCTGGAGGCAGAGGTGGTCAGTCCTTACTGGCGCAGAGGACAGCGCTTATTTAAATTATGTGTGAGTGCAGTCCAGTGCTGTACTACTCTGAGCCCAAGCCTCCATGATGATGCCCTCTATGCCACTCACCTGGACTCAGAGAACGCTGACTGATGCTGGCTGTCATTCAACCCTAAAGACTGGAAACATGCTGTGGCAGAAGGTAATTTCTGCAGAAGACAGTGCCAGATTGAGTATTTACTGAGTTCTCCTGGATTTCTGCTTTTGTGTATTTTGTATGTGTTTAAAGGAGAACTATGGTGTTAAGGCTTTTCCCCATAGTTCTCCTTAAGGTAACAGGAGGACACAAACTAGCGTCCTCCCGTCACCCTAGGCTCAGTATACTGCCAGCTGTAGCTCGCGGTATACTGAGACGCCGCAGCTGAAGTGGATCCTGACAATTGTGCCAGGATCTGCCCAGCTGCGTGACTGACAGCTGGCTCTGCCTATCTAGAAGCAGAGCCAGCTGTTCCCGCCCCCTCCCCCGTCCATTCCGCCAGTCAGCGCTGGCGGATCGGAGCGGGGAGAGGGGAATCCAGCCCCTCCCTGTCACGGCAGAGAGCCGTGACAGGATCGAGAGGTGAGCGAACGCCGGTATGTGTTCGCTCACCTCCCGATCTAATGAGCCGACCTGTGACAGTCTCATTGTCACAGGTCGGCTAGAACTATGAGGTGAGTGAAAAGCACTCACCTCATAGTTCTCCTTTAATTCACAAAGGTAAATATCGCTTAGATGTGTAATGGTTATTTTTCTGCATGATAAGGACATGGAACTGCTAAAGGCTTCATTTTCCCAGTAATTCATCTCGCAAAGCATTTTTTTTGTCACTGTCTTGTAAGTGTCGTCATTTTCTTGCTCTTCTCAATAGACACTTGTTAATACTTGCTGTAGGGATGAGGTCTGGCTTGGCCCAAACCCAAGCTCATCCGAACCCGGGCATTAGGCATCAGTGCACTCCTAATCAGCTATGGCTGGGGCATTCCTCACCCTGCACGTAAACAAAGGGGTGGGATGTTGGTGACATCATTGCTCTTATATGGCCAGATTGGGACCAAACCCAAGCTCATTCCTACTCGGCTATTGGCAGCCAGAATTGAGCTGTATGTTGAGGAGCAAAAACCTGTTCTGGAGTCTTTGTGAATTGACTTTTAGATACAAGATTCCGCCAAATTGATCAAATAACCTCTTTCAGTGCACAATGGATAAAATAAATCAATAAACAAATCAACAATCATAAAAGATCCGAAATGAAATGAAAATGAATCACAGTGACCTTCTATATCACATATTTGTATACTGATAAAATAACCTGCCATATATTTAGCTGATTCAGGAAGTAATGCCTTTAGTGAAAACGTTCATAAAACATTTGGATAACAATATATACTAAGTTTTGTCCAGACACAGCTCATTGCATTTGTCTTTCTTGGTTTCAGAAAACGCCTGCAGAAAGCCAGAAATGATATCTAAAGTCGAGCGAGGGAAGGTGCCGGGTGTGAGGAGTCTGCTGCAATATGAAGAGGAGACCCAGATGGGTCAGTATGAAGAAATCACCACTCGAAATGAAAGCACTATTGTCCAACTATAAAGTCACATATGTGATGTATGCCGGCCATACCAGTAAGACCGGGCTCTCTGTCCCCCTGGAAAAGTTTAAATATTCTGCCATAGAACCATTAGATAAGCATTTCCTTTGGTAGGTGACAATGCTCTTCCTACTGCAGTAAAATCACTGCAGCATTGTCACCCTTGCTGTAGCTGCTTAGATGGTGCCACCATTGATAACTTTAAAAGTCAAGGGCAGTGAATTAAAATTCAAGGAGGTCCGATGAGTAAAATTTTTGTTGAGCAGAGGTTCGATTTGCGGTTATGTAGTTATGTAGTCTTTGTCGCCATTTAGGCTGCATTCACACCATCAGCCGCACTTCAACAGCTCCCTCCCGCCCTCCCGTTTACATACCCATGCATGCCCTATGTGCATGTGTTCATGCAAATCACATTTTAGGGGGGGTGGGAGCTGTTGAAGTGCAGCTGAGAGCACAGCGCTCCCTGCTTCATTCAGCACAGAGCAGATCAGGGAATGTACATTCCTTGGTCTGCTTCTGCTCTCCATCGTGACACCCTCTACTGTGGTCACAAGCCCCCCAGTAGGAGAAGCGGGGGATCCTGAAAACCACAGTGGGGGTTTTGGGGGGGCATCAGGATCACCGGCTAGAACAAGTGGTCCGAGTGCCTATACAGCCGCTCAGATCACTGGTAGATCATAATCTGGCCTGTGCTAGGTTGTGGATGCAACAGCCGCGGAGGCATATCCACTGTCAGCCAGCCAGTTTAGTTTCCCTTCTCTGTTAAATTCACCAACATTCTTTTTTGTGAACTGAAAACTGAACTGTATATTGCAGATGAGGTCTTACATGTGAAAAATAGCAAATGGATGGCAGCAACCAGAGGTGAAAAGGGTTAAAGTGACCCTGACCTGGCTTAAACAAGTGTCTAAGGTAACAACAGTGCTTGAGTGCAAGGACCAGTGGTAGTCATCCGATCACTGTGTACGGAGTCCATTGTCTTCTCTCCAAGTCTGGATTAAACCCACTCCTTATAAGCACTGACAACAGCCCGTGTCACTTAGTTGTCCCATTGATTTCTATGGCAGGCTGAATGCAGCAGGTTTAGCTCCCTGGTGGGGGAAAATACTCCAGAATGTACGTTGTACGAGCTCAGCAGCCTATATGCTTGAACCCATAATCTTCAGTTTAGAAGACCATGCACTGTGTACAGCCAGGTCCTAGGATCTGAGGGGCTGAGCAAGGATCCTGGAATCGATTTGAAAACCAACATGAGTATCTGCAGGCACCAGAAAGTGCGGCACTTTAACATGTTGTTACCTTGGGTACATCTTAGGCCAAGTCAGCTTGATTTAAAACAAAAGTGTTTATGCTTTCATCTCTCTGCTAGGTATTTAGTGTTCTCCCCCCTAAATAATTGTTCTCTATGGAGTAATAATGTGAGTGACGTGCATTACTACAGTATTTCCTATTTCGCTTTTCAATGCTATGAAGAGTCTGCAGAGAGCCAAATGTGAGCGGCATAAATTCTAATCCCTGTGTGTTATTCCATTCCTGTATTTGTATATTTGCAGCTTGCATCATTGTGAGGCCTGAAATGGTGGCAAATCTCCCGGAACTCCTGACAGATGATGAGTTATCAGGTACAAATACAGGGCACAATGTTGAGGGTTTTTTTTCCCCCAAAATATATTTCCTGTGTGTACACTATATGTATATATTAGGGATGCACTGATACAGTGACAGAGTACCGATACTTTTCCCCAAGTACTCGCAAATACTAATTACCGATACCTTTTTAAAAAAAATGTTTAGTGTCATGTGACAGGGTTTCTAAAACCATACAGACTAATGATTTTAGGACCGTTGTAGAGCGACATGGCCCAGTTGCAGCTGCGACCCTGGAGTTCTGTCACTGACCAAGCTGCAGAGGGACTACAAATCTCAGCAATATATTATATAGCAATGCAGAGTACCACTAGCTGTAGAGGAATAACATCAGCTATAGAGGACTACAAAGCTTAGCAATACATTATCCACAAATGCAGAATAATAGTATATGAATTTGCTACATACTTTGTGCTGGCATTCTGATCCGGTGTGCTGGCCTGATGGTCTCATGAGGAGGGTCTGGAGGGTCTCATTAGGGGAAGATGTGCGGGCCGGTGTGGGGTTGTTTTTCAGGGGTTGGGCTTGGCCCCTTATTTCCAGCTAACGGGATCTCTTAAGACATCAGCATACAAAGACATTTTGGACAATTTCATGCTCCCAACTTTGTGGGAAGAGTTTGGGGCTGGCCCCTTCCTGTTCCAACATGACTGCGCACCAGTGCACAAAGCAAGGTCCATAAAGACATGGATGGGGGAGTTTGGGGTGGTGGAACTTGACTTTGCTGCACAGACTCCTGACCTCGCTGCACAGAGTCCTGACCTCAACCCGATAGAACACCTTTGGGATGAATTAGAGCGGAGACTGCGAGCCCGGCCTTCTCGTCCAACATCAGTACCTGACCTCACAAATGCTCCAACATTCCCATAGACACACTCCTAAACCTTGTGGACGCCTTCCCAGAAGAATTGAAGCTGTTATAGCTGCAAAGGGCGGCCCAACCCAATACTGAACACTACGGACTAAAACTGAGATGTCATGAGAGTTCATGTGCGTGTAAAGGCCGGCGTCCCAATACTTTTGGCAATATAGTGTGTGTGTGTGTGTGTGTGTGTGTGTGTGTGTGTGTGTGTG